TTACAAGTAGCTATCTAGAAAAATTATGTATTATTTTTCACATTCTTCTAATATTTTTCTGCTTTCCAGATAAAAGATTATTAGGATCAATTAACGGGCTACACAATGGTATAGATTTCGGTAATTGATCATCAAGTCGTTCCGCCAGCTTAAATAATTCCGTCAACTTCACGTTTTTAAAACGGTTATACGGTTACGGTTAGTGATACAGATAAGCGGTTTGCAGATTATTAATGTACATATTGAATACAACATAATTGCCAAGTTTCAGATTATGATCTTATTTATTTTCTGTTTTGGCAAAGTGCCAACACCTTTCTATTTTGCCTATAACTCACGAACGGTTCATTCCGCTGCTTTCCGGATAGAAGATCAATTAATGGGATACACAATGGTATAGGTTTCGGTAATTGATCCTCAAATCATTTCGCCATCTTCAAAATTTCACACTTTCCTTATTTTGCTTATAACTCATTAACCATTGATTCCGCTGATGTTTGGTTTGAAGATCAATTAGGATCAATTAAGACTCTAAATATTGGCATAGGTTTTGTTAATTGATCCTCACATCGTTCCGCCAACTTCACGGACCTTACTTTACAGCTATTATTAGAAATAATTATGGGTGTACCGATACCAATTTTTGAAGGCCGATCCAATATTCCCGATATTAAATTGATATCGGCCGATTACCGATCCGATATCTTATCTAATTTTGTATTCTGTAAAGATACCAATGGTTTTATTTTTTAATATACTTTTTATTAGAGATCTGAAAAAGTAAGGCCGGCCTGTACCTAATATTTTTAAAATTCGGGCTGAGTCGGGCCTTAGAAATTTTTTAAAATATATCTAAATTTATCAATTTTATGTTGAATTTTTTATGTAAAATAAAAATATGTGATTTTACTTATAGAAAGTAGACGCCAAATAACATATATCGTTAATTTTGAGTAATTATAAAAATTAACTACTATATTTAAATAAGTTCGAGCCGGGCTTGAAAAATTAGGCCCGATGCAAATCACTACTTTTTATTAGTATATCTATAATTCATTTAAATATATTATAATGATCAGTTATAGTTTATATTCAATTCAATTGTAATTCTAAAAGTATATAAAATATTTTTATTGAAAAATCACTTATTTATATAATAAGTAATAACATTAATCTATTTACATAATAAGTAATAAACAAATGTATTATAAAATTTGAAATAAATATTTAAATAAATATATCGAAGATTACTTTTTAAAATTTCCATATCAGAGGTCAATCTATGGGTATATCACTAGCTTCACTAAAAACAGATTTGTTATGTTCTATCCCCCCTTATTTCTTTTTTTTTGTTTCTACTTGTTTCTTTTGTTTTCCCATCTTCCTTTATTTTGTTATGAAATTAATATATTATACCTTATTTTTATATTGCATTTGAAACTGGTTTTTACCAGTTTCATGAATGATTATATCGCGATGAAATAACAACTTTTTTTTTCCCTTTTGTTTTAAAAATTATAAAGGTGGAAAACAAAACACCATTAGATCATTAATTATTTTTCGTGCGTTTTAAATTGAATTTTTTTTTTGTATTTTCTCTTATTCGAATAAACTTTGAAAATTATGTTGTCCAAGTGATTCCATGACTAAATCGATAAAACCCGGCCCCCTGGACCCAGTCATTGACCATCCCGGACCCCCGATCACGGACTGTATTATTCCCATTCAGACTGGGGGACCCATCGGTCCAAACACAACACTGGCGCCCAACGTACATTCGATAATCTACGACCCGGAAGAACCAACAGATCATTACCTTGAGCGTTTTATGCTTATCCACCGACATCAACCTGAGGCAAATTTACTATCCTTATTCTTATCATCATGCGGTCACAGCCTATATTCAAAATTAAAATTAACCTTTGCACCAAGGCCTATGTTTGAAATGTCAATAGAGGACGTAAAAACGATTTTGGGAAACAATAATAACAACAAAGGTCTATCAATCAACAAGCTTCGTCAACGCATCCAGCAAGATGGCGAAACAATTACTGAATATGCGGAAGCTTTGATAGCTTTGGCCTCACAGTGCGATCTAGGCCCCAGCTGGGACCTTTTCCTGTCCTCCCAATTCGGAGCGGGAATACAATCTTCCGGAATAAGAGGTCACGTAATTACGTCCGATAATATAACGTTTAAGGGGAAGCTAAAAATTGCGCAAACCTGGGAAATGGCCGAAGCGCTTAACCAAAATAATGCGACGAACCACGCCTACAGTAACCAAATAAACATACCCACAAAGTATGCGCATGTACAAAACACCCCGCAAACTTTTGAGAAGTACTATCAACCCCCTCGTCGGATTTTCCCACAGAATGATAACCCAACCTGTTACAATTGCGGGAACGTGGGGCATAATAGATACAATTGCCCAATGAAACAAACTTTCAACAATTATAACTCCTCTCAGTATACTCCTCGAAATATACGGACGACCCAACCCAACGTACCAGACGAAACTACTGCGTACAAACAGACTCAACAAATATCAAATAACCCACATGATCTCTTGGACCTACCACCCCGGGGTAGCCCAATTTAAGAGGGGAAAAGAATGTCGTATTTCCACAAAAACACCTTTTTTTTTTCTATTTTGTTGATTATATATATATTGATTTTTTTTTGTTTGGTCATCCATCTGTTACAAATCCCTTTTTTTTATATGTCCTCCACGTGTTTTCATAATTTAGTCGTAATTAAATCCGCTCTAAGCCAGCGGTGCGGCGAATGCCGTTTTATTTATTTTATTGACTTAAGGTAGGATTTACCTTCGTTATTAAATCCGCTCTGAACCAGCGGTACGGCGAATGCCGTTTTATTTATTTTATTGACTTAAGGTAGGGTTTACCTTCGTTATTAAATCCGCTCTGAACCAGCGGTACGGCGAATGCCGTTTTATTTATTTTATTGACTAAAGGTAGGATCTATCTTCGTTATTAAATCCGCTCTAAACCAGCGGTGCGGCGAATGCCGTCTTTATTTTCGTAGGAATTAAGAATGAAATCGGCGCCGACGGCCGGGTAGCCGTATTTAAGAGGGGAGGAGTGTTATGTTCTATCCCCCCTTATTTCTTTTTTTTGTTTCTACTTGTTTCTTTTGTCCTTTATTTTGTTATGAAATTAATATATTATACCTTATTTTTATATTGCATTTGAAACTGGTTCTTACCAGTTTCATGAATGATTATATCGCGATGAAATAACAACTTTTTTTTTCCCTTTTGTTTTAAAAATTATAAAGGTGGAAAACAAAACACCATTAGATCATTAATTATTTTTCGTGCGTTTTAAATTAAATTTTTTTTTGTATTTTCTCTTATTCGAATAAACTTTGAAAATTATGTTGTCCAAGTGATTCCATGACTAAATCGATAAAACCCGGCCCCCTGGATCCAGTCATTGACCATCCTGGACCCCCGATCATGGACTGTATTATTCCCATTCAGACTGGGGGACCCATCGGTCCAAACACAACAAGATTCTGAAGAGATTTTTGCACACTTTTATAAACAGAATGCAATAAAAAATAACAATATGGCAGAATGTTTATTAACTAATTATTACTATTAAAAAAATTAAACATAAAAATGGATTTCGATATAAAAATAAATGGTTTTTAGATATAACTTTTTTTTAAAATTTTATATTTTATTTTTTTTAAAAACGCCATTTTGTATCGGATCGGAAAATTTTATAATACTTACTGATAACCGATATTTTAAAATAGGTGAAATAATGGCCCGATCCGATATAAAATATCGGTACATCCCTAGAAATAATAGAAGCTTATAAATGTGTAATTTTATTTAAGTATGATAACGCGTGTCCGGTTCCCCTTTTAACAATTTCAATCTTTGATAATCTCACAAACTGATTTTATGAATATAGCAGATCTAGGCAATGTCTACATGAGAGAGGAGTATAGGAGAAATTGCCTTTAATTATTTAGAGGGGGGTAGGGTAGAGGTCTGTTCGAAGCCTCAATGAACTCGAACCCGAGTCGGGCTGTAAGAGGTAGCTCAACCCGAAGCCTGACCCTAAAACATTAGAAATATGCTTAATAATCATTGCTTCAGTGAAATATAATCAGAATCACATGTTATTTTTAATCCTACACATGTAATTCATTCATTTACGAAGTTTCCTTTTCTAACCTAAATTTACTTATATCATATTTAACTGCTTAACTTGTTTCGTGATTATGTATAGATTATAATTATTCATATTCTGATTTTAATAATATAAGTCTATTTAATATCTTAATTATATATATATAACTGGTTTTGCTACTTTATTTGATAATTGATGATAGCCTATTTGTGGGGGATAAATATATTTTATTTAAGGTGACAATATGTGAAATACACATAATCTATAATTTTTCCTTAGTTATAATATAACAGAAATTTATTGTTAGGTGAAAGTAAAATTCTTGGTTTTTTTAAAAAGCAATTTAATGGTCAGAAATATAAATTTATTTTCTGTGATTAACTTAATATTTAACATCAAATCTTCCATATTTATTAAATTTTGAGAATTTGTCAATCAATTTATAGTTCATGATGGATGGACTAGCTTTCTTATCTACTATAAATGTTGTCAAAAAATGATTGCATTTATCTTAAAGTAATCGTTCATGAAAATTTATAAATATAATAAATTAATCACTTTTCAGATTATTGTGCATATTAGACAGTTTATTAAGCTGAAATGTAAAACGTATGTGTCCATGCTGCCCAAATAGAATCAATAATATGCGAAGGATATAATCAGATTATGTGAGACATAATATGATGTAACCAAAATCAGCCAATGGTGTATAAGGACATTTAACCCCCTTTTAAATTGATAAATAACTGGTTTTATTAACCGATAAAATTTAATTAAGATTGATTAACTGGCATTTAGGTAACGTAACAAATTACTTATATAATAAATATGGAATTATTTATAAAAATATTATAACGGATAAATAAATTCTATTTATTTTAATTTAAATTTCATAAGTCTGTAAAACAAAGTGTGAGCTAAAATTCATAATTATTTAAATAAAAAATAACAATGTGCGTGCGTAAGATAAATATTTAATAACATCTTAAAATTCAGCATTTTATCTCTTCTTTTCACAAAATACATTAAAAAAATAAGTCCATAAGTTTAGGCAACAAAAGAAAACTAAAAATTTAGCTATTTAAAAAAAAATTATAATATGGTTTAGCCCTTAAAATTATTTTTTTCGTTTCTCAGATAGTCCATAGCTTGGATATGATCGTCCGTTTTACAATGCTTTTGAACGGATGAAAGATCGACTCGCATAAAAGGATTCATTAATTTCTCTAGGCCGATAGTGGATGGGACAGTCGCTTCCCCATCTTTCCGATTAGTTTGGTAAATTTTTAAATGTTTTTGGATATCCTCATTATCGGGTTCGACAAATTGTCCGTATTTCAAATTGCTGACGGAGTATTCGTGTCCGCAATACACTTCCTTGATTTTTTTTTTTAAAAAGAATTATTAATTTTTTATTAGAATTTCATGGGTTTAAAAGATCCTCTTTTTTTGAATTTCAAAATATATTTGTCTAAGCTATGTCCTGGTTCAACTTATTAGTAAACAGCCAGCTATTTAGAATCTACTAAACAGACAAATAAGTGACCATCAAGATTTTAAGCATGCCCCTCATTTAATTTCTACGATTATATAATCAATATAGAAAACGAGGTAAATATTATATAAATATAATTTATTATATAAGCACATCCTATACGATTGTACAAGGGCTGTGCCGATTAACAAATTTTTCACCGATCCGATTCCGATATTTATCATCTATCTTTGTATCAATGTCATAAAAATATTATATTTTTTATTAAAAAAAATCGACTAACTTTCAAGAATGATTAAGTGTATTTAATTTTATTATATTAATTTTCCAAAGTTAATAATCTCATTTAAAATATTTGCAATGTTTATGGGTGAATGTAATGTTAACACCTCCATTTAGCCGATTTTTAAAAAGGACTAAATCAAAATTTTATCCAAAATATTCTCGCAATTTTGCCAATATAAATCCAAACCTTTCTGCCATTTGTGAGCAAACTCAATAAGCTTGAGTAATTTACTTTTGACCAAAATCTTGAGTTAACTGTTTTTAAAATTTGCTAAATCGAGTCATTTAGCAACACAAGCTGGGTTGACTTATTAGATTTTAGGCTATTTTTAAAATATTACAACAAATAAATTGTATTTTTGTTGTTTCTAATTTATTATTATGAAATTATTTATAAAATAAAAAAATTACATGAATATATATATATAATTATAAAATAACTCAAAACAATAAAAATATCGAATAGGATCGGGTTTTAAAAAATATCGGGGCGATCCTATATTTTCTAAAAACGCTAAATATCAGTGCCGATCCAATTCGATATTTAATATCGCTACAACCTAGATTGTACTCACAATAATCTAAGAATAAGTGATATTAGTTTCAATTTTTCTCCTCAATATTCAAAGTTTTAGGCTAATTATGTCAAATACTCTTTCAACACATTGCCACGTTCCTTTTAGAAAATCTTGACCTTTCCCATGTCAATTCAAATATATTTCATTTATTTGAGATCTTTCTTGTGAATCAACATAGGCTTCAAAAGCATAGAAATATAGCAGTATCGGTCACATGAAAGTTATACTACTTTAGGTTATAAAAAAATGTGTGAGGTGAGAGTTAAGTTAGAGAAATTGAGTTAATTAGTTATTGTTAGTGCTGTAAAGTATCGTCAATACTTTTTTGAAGAAAAGGGTTATTCTAAATTTTTTTAAAAAAATATTTAAAATAGATAAACATATTTTATTGTAGGGGAGACCGGGGATTGTGTTCCCGGGGTAGGTATTTCCTTCTCAAATAATTTAAAAATTAATAAAGTTTAAGATTTGAAATTTAAGCCAAATATGTATTATAATAAGGTGCTTAAGTAGGTCCAAAATTGTTCCGGACAAAATTGCTCATGAAAAATTTTAAATGTAAATTTAAGTTTCAACATACCCAAAGTAACTTTTTTAAATTTTACATTTTCACGAATAACTTTTTTTATAAAAGTTGTTCAGACTTAATATAAATTCTAAATGATAAAAAAATCTCCATTTTATCATATATAAAAATATTGACAATCATTGTGTTAATTTAATATTCTAAATTTAATTTTTAAATAATCCTGTGGACCTGGGGAAGGTATTAGCGGGGTGCGTCTTTTCCTTTTACATACATTCATTAAAATATTGGTTCTGATTTTGTAAAATGGTTCGAACATATATTAGAAAAACTAACAAAGAAAATAATGATAATCAAAAGGCAAGTATTCTTCAAATGCTGAAAGATAATATACCTTTGACAGTTATAACCATGAATACGAATTTAAGTTATGGGAGGTATATTTATATATTTAAATTAGTATATATTTAAGAAACTAAGCATTAAGAGGTATAATCTTCTTCTTCTCCGTTTTATGGCGATTTCCAGGTTTACCCGGGTAGGCCAGTTTTCCCTCTGATTTTTCTTTTCCATTTTTGACGGTCCTGAGCATCAATACTTGTAAGATTCAAGCTTCTCATATCCGCCGCTATCACATTTGTCCACGTCATCTTGGGTCTTCCTCTAGGTCTTGATCCTCCTACTTCCATCATTTACCCAGTCATCTCTTGTCATACGTTCCACATGCCCAAACCATCTTAGTCTATTTCGTCGCATTACCATACCAATCATTTCTATACCTAATCTTGCTCGCAATTCCTTGCTAGTTTTTCTCTCTCTCAGAGATACCCCACACATCCATCTAACCATCCTCATCTCTGTTCTTTCTAATTTGGCTTCGTGAATTGCTTTCATTGCCCATGTTTCACCGCCATAAACTAAACAACTCCTCACGCAGCTTACGTAAACTTTCCCCTTTAACTTCAGAGAAACTTTTTTATTTGTAAGAATAGACGACATCTCTCTGAACTTCTTCCAAGCTTGTCTGATCCTTGCAACAACAGCAGAATCTACACCACCATCTGCGTTTAGCATATCACCTAAATAACAAAACTTATCCACTTTTTCTAGGGTTAACCCATTGCCAATATCCAGACCACCATTTTTTAGGTTATCATTATTATGTATCCCTTTCATGCATGTTTTACAAATAAAGGTCATTCTTTCTAACATCAAACTGCCTTTTTTCCCACTACATCTTTTATGTACCCATTTCTGGCATCTGGTGCATTGGATAGAATTTCTAGCAACTCCTTTCCCACATACACCACAAGGCCACTTACCTGATTCTTCTATCTTTAGATTTTCCCCACCAATCATCACCTTTGTTTTTGATGCATTCATTTTCAGGCCCTTTGCTTCCATAGTCATCTTCCATTTACTAACTTTATCCCTCAATTCTCCCTCACTGTTTGCCATTAATACAAGGTCATCTGCATATAATATCTCCCAGGGAAGTCCTTCACGCATTTCTCTAGCCACCACATCCATTACTAAGATAAATAATAATGGACTCAGCACGGATCCTTGATGAAGTCCTACCTTCACCTCAAAGCTGTCACTATCACCATAATCCGTCCGTACTGCTGTTTGTGCTCCAACATACATTGCCATCACTGCGGTAACTAATCATTCCTCCACACCGGATTTTCTCAAGGCCCATCTTGTATTCTCACGCGGCACCCTATGAAATGCTTTCTCCAAATCAACAAACGCATAATAGAGTTTCTTTTCCTTCGCAAGATACTTCTCCTGAATTTGTCTCACCACAAAAATTGCATCTGTCGTGCCTTTTCCCGATGTAAAACCAAACTGCATTTCATCAATTTTGATTTGTTCCCTTATCCGCTTTTCTAACACTCTCTCAAATACTTTCATTGCATGTTCCAAGAGTTTAATAGCTCTGTAAGACCCACAATCTAAAGGATCACCTTTCCCCTTGTATACTGGGATAATTATACTTCTTCGCCAGTCCTCGGGAATAGTACCTTCTGTGACAATCTGATTTGCTAAATTTATTAACCATTCAATCTATGTTTTCATTCAAACTCATTAATATTCCCTGGAAAATTTCTATTTATGATATACTGTTTGAGTTAATTAACAATTGCGATGTACATTACTCAAGAATACTTGGTAGTGATGACGTCATTATTGAATTTATGAGTCTTAAAGAAATGGTCAACTATTTTGTACAACTTAATGAGAAGTTTTACGTGTAAATGACTCGGAGTTTATTCAACTCCATTGTATTTTTGTAAAAATATAAAGTGTTATGATTTCTAAATATGTATACGAAATATTAATAAAATATGGATATTAAACCAGAATTAATATATAAAATTTCAAAATTGGTTGGACCACTTACTGAGATTTACTTAGACAGAATATTAAGTTATTTTTCGACCAGCACATTACCGGACTCTATTAAAATAAATATTTTGCTTAATAATTTATCAGACGAGGTCTTTGACAATATTAAATCAATTAGCTCCGATACCGACATATTAGATCTTAAGATAGTAACTAAAAAGTTAACTTACCTTTTACCTGTACAAGATAAAAACATTTAAACAAATTTAACTTATTACAGCCGAACTCGAGTGAGAATTTCATGCAATGGTACATAATAGTATCGAAACTACATAAAAAATGTAATTTTTCGGACGACAGTAGATTAAAAGAAAAATTACGTATATCTACCTTAAATGACAAAATAAAATATAAATTTTGTAAAAATATTAATTTAACCTTAAATGAAATGGTAGAGCTAGGAATTAAATTAGATAGTCTCAATGATAAATGATATGTTGATAATATTAGTTATATGAATATACGATAAAAAGTCTGATAAAGATAAAAACTTTAACAATAGAAATAGAAATGACAATAATAAATATTTTAGACCTGATAATAATTTTAGAAATAAGGTAATAATAATTCGAGATACCACGATAATTATAACAACTATAACTACAATAACTATAGCTACAACAATAATAATCAAACTTAATTATAACAACTATAACTACAATAACTATAGCTACAATAATAATAATCAATATAATTATGGTAGAAATAATACATGGCATGATAATATCAAAGAAAACAGATCCAATACGGTGACGGAAATAGTAACATTTACCAATCTTATAACAACAATTCAAATAATTATAGAGGTAGTGACAATAATCAGAGAAAGCAAATACAATATAACAACTCAAATAATTATAGAGGTAACAATAATAGAAAGCAAATACAATACAACAACAATGATTACAATATGAATATTGAAGAAATTATTGAAGAGAAAGTCGACTCTACAAAGAACAAAGATGATAACGATTTCAATGTTAACAACTATCTGGTGACATGTTCAATGACAAAGATAATGCATTTATGACTAATTTAAAAGTGAACGATATTGTTACGAGTATGCAAGTCGACACAGGCT